GTTCCATAAATGCTGGCTGTTGTACTTTTCATATAGAAGCATGTGTGTGTGTATGTGTGTGTTATATGTATGCATGTATTATACTCTTGCTTAATGTTTTGTATTTATCCCTACATACATGCACACATACATTATACTCTTGGTATTTACTTACATGGTATATATAACATTTTCATATCCTGGTAAACATATTTCCTGAAATGTGAGGGGTTTTAGCAAATTGCAACATCGTTTCTCCTTCCGATACATATTTATAACAAATTAATCTCCTTCCCTTTTCCATTCTGAAAGTGTCTGGAGTCTCAGCTGTGTAATTATTTGTTCTTTGCTAGGAGAAAACAGCCACTCCGGGACTCCAGCAGTGGGGCTTGAGCTGGAACCCCACCCAGCCGCTCTATTCTTGTGCACAGACTGTTGGTGGGCGGACTGCGGAAAGCCTCGATCTTGGAAATGCTTTTAAGCCCCTGGGAAACTGAACAGGGAGTAAAGAGCGAATTTTTAAAAGCTGCTATCTGCCTCCTCTAATTAACTTGCTCTCTGCTCCTGGGAGGTAGTGTGGAAATACGCAAACGAGGCCAGCGGCTCCAGAAGTGCCATTCTGCTGGCCCACGGCGGCCTTCGGTGTTTTGGTGCACACAGTTCATAGTAAAAAGACCACGAGGCACAGCGAGCATGGTGTCCTTATGGGTGATTGGTGGCCCTCTGAGCAGGTGTGCAGGCTGGCAGCTGCCGCAGTCGGAACCTCATTGGACTTCACTGCTAGGGTGCAAGAACACCGGGCCCTCCTTGTCACTTGTGCTATTGAGAAAGACCAGGGCTCTTTATGTTGCAAAGCCTTGAGTTGCCAGTGCCCAGGGTTGCAGAAGCAACAGGACAAGCTTTTGATCCTCCCCACCCCCTCTGCATCTCTAGATGCTCACAGCATTCCTTGCCAGGAGTCTGGGAAAGCTTTCTTTTTGGTAGTAGCATGAAAGAGATCTCAAGAGATACTGGCAGGAACAGTACAGGTAGGGATTGGGGCTATTTTTTAATGGAAATGGCTTTTAGCTCCTGGCAGATGTGGTCCTCAGTGGAATGGGCCTGTTGGATGTGGGCAGCAGGGAGCAGCAGTGGGGACTTCAGGCTGCTAGCTGCCCAGGGAAGCTCCAGAAAGAGACAAGTTGACTCTGTGTGTCTCCTGATGTTTATGCTAGGGAGAGGACGCTGGTTCCCAGCACTACATCCTGGGCCTAGCAAGCTGTTTACTTGTGCGGCCTCCCTGTGTTCTCATACTCCTAAAACTTCACCTACCAAGTTCCTTCCAAGTATACATGAGACTTAAAATTTCCCCATAGACAAAAGCTAAGTCCTTTAACATATATGAGTGTAAAAAAAACAACAACCACAAGCAGTGCCTTTCCAGTTATATTTTTGAGGATTAAGTATTTATACAAAGTTGTCCTTAGCTTGTTGGGTCCCATCAAAAGCAGCTCTGATTTTTATTTATTTATTTATTTATTTATTTTATTTATTTATTTTATTTATTTATTTTATTTTATTTTATTTTATTTTATTTCTTTGAGCCCCTTCAGGGCCCCGGCATTGTAGGTGTCATGCTTAGGAATGTGGACAACCTGACACTGACAAAATGAGGCTCTTATACGAAGTTGTAAAAGAAAGAGTGACATAGTTGTTCTTTTTGATTTAGGTAACTTTTTGGGTAGGGTTTCATGTAGTCCAGGCTGGCTCCAAAGACTATACGAGGTTGATGATGACCTTGAACTTCTGACCCTCCTGCCTTGACCCCTTTTGTGCTAGGACTGTAGGCTCACGCCACTATGCCTGGTTTATGTAGTGTTAAGGGTTGAACCTGTGGTTTTGTGCATGTTAGACAATAGCACGGCCCAAGTGTGCCATGTCCCTAGCCCTTGATGGAGACATCTTAAAGGGAGTTCACCACATGGCTTCTTTCCTGGGTCTTAGTAGACAGCAGTTGCTTGCTGGTACTCTGCTGGCCAGTTGATAGGCTTTAGAAGAGTTGACATCTGCCAAGGTAACTGGTCCTGTGACCCCAATGGAGCTGAACAGTTGTGAGCATCTCAGTGATGCCCCTGTGACCCAGTGCATTGACTCCTGCCTGGTATGCTATGTTCTGTTTCCTCCTGCGTCAGGATTATAAATCTTCAGTAGTCATCCCACGTATCCACCCTCTTGGTAGCTAGCCTCCTCCTTTGTTGCCAGTGATCAGTTGGCATCTGGGCACCATGGAACTGTTCAGAGATGGGAGCCCGCATGTTGCTGCTCTCCACAGTGTCCGTCCTCACAGGTGAGGTTGGCCTTGGTTCTGAGGTCATCTTGAGCCAGTAAACTGCTCTCCTCTCTGTCTTGTAGACAGTAGGACTTATAACTGGGTTCCCTATGCCTGTGGCTGAGATCAAGTAGCTTGGGGGAAGCAGGAAGGGCAAAGACCATTGGCAGAGTTTTCTTGTGCCCAGGCATGGCTTTTCCACTGACTTCTTGTTACCAAGAGAACCTTTCTGTGGTAGGCTTTTGGCCCAGGTCTCTGTGAGAAGTCACTCCGTTGCAGGTAGACTTCCATAGGGACCACCAAAGTCTGTCACTACACCACTGAGGTGTGGCTGGCCGTGCTTTGGGGCTTGGCCTGGCATGCCCTCCACTGGCAGGCTTCCTGGCTCTCATTCACTCACTCCACAGATGGTCACTCACTGCCCTCCGTCTGGGTACTATGTAAAACAAGGCCAGCCACCTGCATGGCAATTTCAGCCCAGTACAAGAGACCAATAAATCTCTAGAAGCACAGGGATGGCGGGGAGTGGAAAGAATGGCAGGCTGGGGTGGGGAGAGAATGAATGAGATGGAGTTGATGAGATGAGGATCCTAGAGGCAGGCTGGAGCCATTGTGGTGGTGAACATAAAAACAGTTTCTCGATCTGTTAGACTGACTCGGTGCCAGATAGTGTAAGCTTACCCAAAGATCCACTGTGCGCGAATTCTGTCACTACGGTGGACATGTGTCTTTCAAGTAGAGCTTTGTTCAAAGAGTGTGTCATTTGATCTCAATGTCGGTGGCCAGATTCACCCTAGTTCCCAGGGAATTATGCTTTGAGGTGATGACACACCTCAAACTGAATTGAGCGTTTGCCCCACATCTGCTTGGTGCAGTCAGAAGGCCATCCACGCCTTCTTAGCAGAATCTCTACTCAGCACTGTCTCACCTGTTTTTCTTATCTCTCTCCATCAGGAGTTCCGACTCTGAGGAAGCCTTCGAGACGCCGGAGTCCACGACCCCTGTCAAAGCTCCACCAGCCCCTCCCCCGCCACCCCCAGAAGTCACTCCAGAGCCTGAGGTCAGCACTCCACCGGCCTCAGAAGAACCAGGTAACCAAATGTCAAGAGTCACAGGCTCTAGGGGACAGAGTTGGCTGTTGGACAGTCCACAGCCCACAGCGGCTGGAGCCCCCTTCTCTTGACTCTTTATGCTGCACTGGTTCCCGTGAAGTCTGTGAGTAAACAGAGTGGGTTGTGCTGTGTGCCTCCTGGAAGTGTTTCTGTGTTGCTTGGGTTCTCTGGTCCCTACCCTTGCAGGCTTGGGTAGGTTTGAGGGTTGTGACAGGTTTCCAGCAGGATCTTAGATGCCACTCTTTGACCCCTTCTCCCCTACGAATGATGATGTGAGACAGCTCATTTCACTCTGCACTTGTGAAAGGACAGGCCCACCAGGCTGAGGGATGGGGGCGGGAGTGTCAGCACACAAGTAAGAAAAGTTAGTGCTGGGTGAGCCCTTGGTACGTGGGGATTCCTGGGGGAGCGGGAGGTCAGAACAGATCTCAGGGCACCTGCCAAATAGATGGTGTTCTGTGTGCTTCCCCATTCTACCAGAGGAGATGGAACCACCTCTGATGGGAAGTTTAACATAAAGTTTGGAAAGAGACACAACCTGCTGGAGATGGCCCACGGGAACCAAATGCTTAGACCTGGAGAGCAATAACCCCATTCTGTCCTGTTTAGGCCTCTGTCCTCCTCAGTGACAAGTATACAGAGTCAGTTGCCTTGAGACCATGTCCTTAATCTTCCCAATGCTGCGATCTTTTAACACAGTTCCTCATCTAACCATAGAATTATTTTTGTTGCTACTTCATAGCTGTCATTTGCTAGTTATGAATTGGAATGTAAATATCTGAGAGGGGACCCCTGTGAAAAGGTCATTCAACCCCCTAAAAGGGTCGCAATCCACAGGTTAAGAACTGCTGCTCTAGACCATGCACTAGATGCTGTGGGCAGTCCCATCCAGGGGCCACCTCTTCTATCCTAACCCTGTCTTCCTGATGTCCGCCTTTGTCTAAAGAGGGACCATGTGTAGACTTGAGGCTTGCGGGCTGAGAATCCACAGCCTGGCTGGAGGTATTCCCAGTGGGGATGGAGCTGGTAGTGGAGGAGGACAGGCCTGGGGCTGGGCTGACGCTTGCCCTGGCCACAAAGTAAGCGCATTGTAACTTAAAATGACATTTTGGTCCTGATGTTGATGTTAAAAAGTGGATGCATTTTTTTTTCCCCTGCCAGTTTACGCAGGCCATTGTTTCAGAAGTATACACAGCCCCAAGCTTTAGTCTTAAAGAGCTGGGGTGCCTTGTGCTGGGGAATAGAGCAGGGCAGTTTTTGTGGGACTGGGTCCTTCACTGAGGGCAGACAGGTATGCTGTTTCTCCTTGCATGCGCTCCTCCGCTGAGTCTGTGTAGACACTGGCATGAGAGGGGAATGGGTGTGTGTGTGTGTGTGTGTGTGTGTGTGTGTGTGTGTGTGTGTGTGTGTGATTGTCTGAATTAAGGTGAAATGGAGCCAGAGAACTATCTGCAGTTCTGAGACTCTCGTGTCCCTTCCTTTGTTTTGTGTCATAATGGACAGAAAAAGGTACTTTCCGTATCACTTTTACAAACTCACCCCTAGTTTTTTAGTGGAAAGTGGCTGAGTAACAAGCATCTTGTTCTGAAGGCAGGTACAGAGAAGGTCACTTTCGTGGCCCTTGGTGCGTCTTCTAAGGGTCCCTGCCCAGTGCTCTGACTGCCCCTAGGAACCGTTACCCACCACTGAGCCATCCTGTCCTGCCCCATAATAAACTTTAGACAGCTGAGTAGTTGTACCACATAACAATGGGACACAACCTCTACTCCGTCTGCTTGGAATCAGGTGCTCAACTGTCTGTATCTACCACCACACACTGATCCAAAGGGCAGTGGGGGGCCACAACCAGTCACCTCGGAGGACACTGAGCCCCATGATCTGGAAGCATGTGATGGTGTCTCCTGTTCATCATATACAACTTCCTCCAAGATGGTCTCACATCCTGGAATGGCTGCCCCAGCGGATAGAAAAAAAAGACAGGTGACCGAGAATCTCTTCTGTGGAGACAGCTGATTGGTGCTGTGATCATCTTTGTGTTTTAGGTTGTGTGGCCCATTAATTCTGTACTTTGCTTCTTTCCTGCCTCGGCTATATCCAAGAACGGCCCAGGCAGTAACTAAGGACCATTGAGTCCCTCATGTACAGTTTTTCCCAAAACAGAAAGAATGCTCTAAGTCATTATTGGGATAAGTGGAAATGCTTGCTATTATTATCCTTTGAAATGAATCCTAGCCTTGACTCTCCTTCAGCCTTTAACCCAGCTACGAATGCAAAGCTGTCTTTAGAATAGTCAAAATCAGAGCAAAATGTTCTGCACCATGCTTGAAGCAAGCAGACACAGAGTGGCACAAAACATCAAGTGCCTTTGTGTTCCAGTGGGCTCCATCAGGGCAGACTTGGGGGTCTTTTGTCCTGGAGAATGAACTTTGAAAAGCTCTGAGGTGTGCGTCAGACATGCTAGATGTCTATCCCAGTGCAGACAGTAGGTTGGAAAAATCTATAGGTCTGGCCGTGATGCTTTGGAACCTCACCATTCAGAGTCTGAAGCATAGCCTGCATTCCAAATGAGTGAGTCCTGTCTAAAAAAAAAAAAAAAAAAAAAAAAAATGAAGCAATAGATGGAACCCCAGAGCACTGTGGCACAGGAACTCTGTCCATCAGGTATAAATGGCAAGCTTTCACTTATGAGGCTCTGGCCTCTCAGTCTTCATCTTGGTGGGGTGCAAACTGTTAGGGAGTAGCAGTTGCCTCAGGACAGTGATGGCAGCACCAACCACTCCCTAACTTCTTTTTCAACAAAGCAGAGACTTATCTCCATTCTTAAAAACAAACACACACGGCCCCACCTCTCACTTAAATGACTGTTCACAAAGGAATGAACATTGTAGAGGCTTAGGAGAGAACCTGTGTGCACATGGGTGGAGATGTTAATTGCCACTGAGTCACAATCCCTTAGAACCTTTGGTTATACCCCTTGGCATCTTTGAACAGGGACTTTACCAATCTTCTTTGAAAACTGCAGTGAACCTGTCAGTGTGAAGATTACATCAGGAGACTGGAGCTGGGGATTGTTTCTGCATGAAGCAACCGCCTCCTTGTCTTGGGCTGTACAAAAGACCATCTGATTTGTTGCACATGTCGGAAGCTGCCCCCCCTCCCATCTTTTCATCCATTCCGCAGACCCACAGGGGCCCTGTAAAAGCACGAGAAGGCACTGTGCTGCTTGCGTGGGTCTCCCTGGGGAGAGAGGGGGTTTGTTCTGAAAACCATGGGAAAGAAAGGGCAGGAGAGGAAAAGCTATTGTTTATAATTCCTCCACAGAGTTCCTGGAATGTCACTAAAGGAGCCCAGGGCACCACAGGAAATAATAGACAAGACCTTTGACTATGAGCACAAACACCGTTTTCCCTCCTGGAAACCTGTTTTACAAAGCAGTCACTTGCTGTATGCTAGGTCCTTCTGAGCGTGTTTGTGCTCCATGGCACAGCAGGACAGGATGCTGAGTGCCCACCTTGCATCTGTCCCCATCTGAGGAGCCTAGTTTTCCTGTGTATAAATGAAGGTAGCAGCCTGCAATCTCTGAAATCACTGCCCTCTGTGGGACGTAATTTTCACCTGATTAAAAATTAGCTTTGGCTTATGCATCTTCCCTGTGTTAGGCTTGTACTAAGACCTTTGTCTGCTTCATGTCCCTCTTGGATGAGAGAAAATTATCCCTTATTTGAACAGCATCCCTTCCTTTGGGGTCACAGACCTTCCCTGTCCTGTGGTGTGTGAGGGGCTCTGGGATGGGGAGCCATAGCTTCTAGCTCTCCCAGGCAGTGTCACGCAGGACCTACTACGTTTGAGCTCCTGGACTGCTGCTGTGCTTCTTGCCATGTAGGTGCTGAGTCGTGCCTATGCCCACTGGCACTCAGCCATGGGCTGAGCAGCTCTGTCAGTTGGTCCTGAGAGCTGCAGCCTGAGCTGGTAGAATGGTCAGGTGGCAAGGAGTCAGGTACATAGTGGGAGAACTGAGGTGAGTTTCTTGCCCATCCTCACTGGGACATCCTTCTCACAGTGACAAAGCTTGTCTACTCATTCTTGCTGATGATGATTGGATGATTGTCTACTCATTCTTGATGGTGATTGGAACTGGCCAGTGCCCTGTGTCCCTACACATTTCCTCCTGCTGGGAAGAGGTAGCCTGTGGGTCTCTTGATTTTAGACTGCTTCTCTCAATGTAAGCCACCAGCAATGCTTCTGTCATCTCTGGGTCCACCACAGAGGGCTTGTTTCTGTACATGCTGGCATTTGCTTTCTCCTCCTCTGAAAAACCCAAGCATGACTCAAAGCTCCCTGGTATTGAGGTATTCCTCTTGGGGTGCAGAACAGTAGGTGTCATGGGCAGGATCTGAGGGGCTGTGGCTGTTATTTCCTGGTCCCGACTATGCCCTGTGCTGGACATTCATGTGTCCTTCCATTCAATCCTCATAGGAACCCCTGGATTACAACAGCAGCACATTTATGAAATAACTTTCCCAGAATGCACAGCCTCAGCTTCCGCCAGCCTTCCTATGGACAAAGTAGCATGGACAGCTCTGGTTCTGGATAGTGACGTTGAGGTTTTGGAGGTTGGATTTACAAGCAGCTGTGTCCTCACATGGCACATAGGACAGACAGGCTCCCTCTAGGTAGTAATCCCATTCTGAACACTCTCCGTAAATTAATTACCTCCCAGAGGGTCTGGTCATACCTTGAGAGTGAGACTCCTGCATGGGTGTTTCAGGGATTATAGGTGCTTAGGCTGAGGACACAAGCTGAGGACCAGGGCTTTTCAGAGCTGGGTCTGGGTTCTACAAGCACAGGGCCAGGTGGCTTTCCTACTCTTCCTGATGTGATCATTACTGTGTACCCAGGTTTCGGGAACCAGTGAAGCTGGAGGGACTCGGATGTGTCAGCATGCACACATTCCCCATGTTTAAGGAGAAGGGCACGTG